ACCACACGTCTTTTCAGAATTTTCTCAACTTGAAAAGCCTTGTCATTAGATACCTTCACTTTTTGTAACTCTTTCTCATAAAAAGTCCCCTTGATCTCCTCTCCATCATAATCTTTGAGTTTGTAAACAGGGGGCTGACGAGGTATGCCTTCAGACACCGTAAATAATTCGTCGGTATAACTCTGTTCATATTTTTTATCAAAGACCCCTCTCAGCTTAGATATTTTTACAAGTTCCCCCTCCTTAAAGTTCATTTTCGTAGCAGCTTTTTTACGATGGATGGATGGGGTATACAGGTTACGATACACTTGAGCCGCATTTTCCTTTGTCACCTGCAGAGGCGTCATTTTAATACTTCGGTGATAACTATTATTGTAGCTTTCAATTAGTTCAGGCAAGACGTCTATGTATCTATGCGTGTTTTTAGCTGTAAAATACCTCCACATTTTAGTTTTCAGCGTACGGTTAAATCTCTCTACCACACACGCCTTCATATCACTGGCTGTTGCATAATGTGCAATACCTCGTTTCTTCAATAAGGCTTGAAAAACTTTGTTAAAGAATTCTTTCCCCGCGTCTGTTTGCATCTTTTTAGGAATTTGACTGTGTGTTAAAATTCTATCAAAGGCTTTCGCCACTTCTACACCAGTCTTCTTCTTTATTGCCTGTGCATAGGCTTTTTTCGAAAATACATCTATGACTGTTAACAAATAATTAAAACCGTCATTATGCTTGGATAACGACTGCATATCGCAAAGGTCAGCTTGAAATTGCTGTAGCGGTCTGAGTACGAAAACTCTGTTTCTTACAAAATGTACCCTTGCCGGCTTGTGTAAAGTATAAGCATCTTGTTCAGATAAAAAATCTCTGACTTTCTCTACATTTATTTGTTTACCCATCTCATTCTGTACAGCTCTATGGAGTTTATCAACGCCCCCTAAACTCCCTGGATTAGAGGGAGTGTAATACACTCTTTGCATGACACGTTTCTCAGACATGTTCCCTGTTACCGTCCCAATGAGGTAATGAATACAACAGTTGTGTTACAACACATTTTTATTGATTTGATGCATATACCAACAACCGATTTAAAAAAACATTTTTCTCCAGGCAGAAAATCAAAAACAATTTAAATCAAAAAACATGATTACAAAGAAGGACAGACTAGATCAAGTAAAATAAAAATAAAAAAAGTAAAATAAAAAAACATGGTGGTACTTTTTACGGATAAGTTTCAAACTCTTCCTTTCGCTGCCAAAAGTCCCATGCGTCTGCTATATTCTTCAGCTGTGACTCGTCGTTTTCAACAAGCTTTTCGTAAAGCTTCCAGAATATGGAGGGAGGGGTGGGGGCGACAGGGCGGATGTGACACCTGCTGTAAGGGAGGAGGAGGGGTGGGTTGAGAGGGGTGGGGGCTGAGAGGGGTGGGGGCTGAGAGGGGTGGGGGCTACGGGGAGGATGTAACACCTGTATGTGAGGGGGAGGGGGTGGGCTGAGGGGGGTGGGGGCTATCGGGGAGGATGTGGACCTGTACGTGATAACACCTCGAACAAAGGGGCTCATTAGCATATCAAAGGGGGCTCATTAGCATAATTAGGGGGCGGGACTTAGAAGGTGTGACCTGTCACTTTTTTATGCATATTAATGAGATTGAAGCGGGATTGGTAATACTACTCATTATTATTATTATCATCATTACTATTGTTATTATTATCATCATTACTATTGTTATTATTATCATTACTATTGTTATTATTATCATTACTATTGTTATTATTATCATCATTACTATTGTTATTATTATCATCATTACTATTGTTATTGTTATTACCTTTACTATTATTATTTTTATCATTATTATTACTATTTCTTTTTTTCTTAAAACTAATATTGATGCATTAATGCAAGAGACTTCAACAGGGGGGATTACCCATAGGGGGGTCCCTAATCCTCCACACTTCCGCATCCAAACATGCGGACAACCCAACTCCTTCTGCGGGACCTCCTGGTCAGGATCTCTTGAAACCTCCACTCCCAGTCCTTCTCCGCCCGCAGCAGCACTTTAGAGTCCTCTTCACGCTGGTCCACCAGCTGCTTCTGGGCCCGCTTCACAGCACGCACCAGCTGGTCCATCTTCACCCGCTGGCTCCTCAGCAGGGGGTCTACGGTCTCCCACACCTGATTCACTGCTTCCTCTGTTATTTCACGCAGTTGACTGATCTTGATGTGAACCACTTTTACTTTACTAAACTCGTCTTCAGCAAGGTCTTCTACACTATCTGAAAACCTTGGGAGACCTCCAAGGCTCTCCCTGCTCCCTGGGGTCTCTGCAGCGGGTGCATTTTCCTTCTCCACTCCTTGGAGCGGTACCTCCTCCTCAGCTGTGAAAAAGATATCTGTTCTTGTAGCTTCTGTTTCTGGCTCTTCCTGCTCATCACTAGACAGGATGTTGGAAAGGTCCAGCAATCCTGGGGATTTCTTCAGCTGCAACTCTGACAGATCCTCATGAGCCTGTGTGCTCATGTGACTTGGAGGCGGCTGCAGCCGTTTACTGGCCACCTCCAGCTTGTTTTGGAGATCCATGTTGATGGCAGATACATGGCTCAATCTGGAGGCTGACCTTACCTGGGTCTCCTTCAACTGACGGCGGAGAACCTCGTTTGTTTTCTCTTCGTCCAGTTTGGTCTGGGACTGCTTTGCATACATTTTCTGAAGCTGGCACTTTAAGTCCTTATTTAATTTAATTTGGACATTAAGGTTTCCAGCAGTGTCTTTCCCCCTGCCCGCAGCCGCATTCAGCTTCAATTTCAGACTTGCAATTTCGTCTCGCTGCCCAGAGCTCGACCCTTTTACTGCATCCACGCCACGCAGCCGATCAAGGACTGCAGCCATGGTCTCATATTTGCTTTTCAGTTTGGCTCTTTCTCTTGCCTTACACGACAAAAGGTCGATCCTGATCTTATCAAGTTCTCTACAGGTGTCCATCTCCCAATGATTATTAATATAGGCATCCACACGGCTTCTCAAATCACTGTTATTTGCCTTTGCCATGTTTGCTTGTCTCTGGTTTGTGTTGAACTGAATAGATTGAGGAGGAACTTGTGTGTGCAAACCTTTCCTGTAACTTTCTACTAATGAGAGTAATATTTGAACAAGTAAATAAGGAAAAATGTAATGATGTCTTGCAACTCAAGTTCACTTGTGCTAACCTTTGCCTAAGAATGACAGAAAATTAGTTTCCCCAAGTTGTCTTATAACATTCCATCTGACAGCAATATCGCTTTGATGATGTCATAGCATTCCATCTGACAGTAAAATTGGCTTCGATGATGTCATCCCATTCCATGTGACATGTAAAAATTGCAGTTGTTGTACAAATGCACTGATTGTTACCATGGTAACAATAATAAGAAATAAACACATTAATGTTTTACAGGTGAATTAACGTAAAAGTATTAATGAAAAAGCAAGAGGAAGGTGCACTTGCTTCTCGAGTGCTAAGTTAGTTCACATTGGCAAAGTAAGGCAAATTCAGCCATTCATCTTCATCAAAAAAAAGTTAATCACATTTATTTTGCTTTTTTTGTGCTCAGGCGCATAGTGCGTAAAAGTGGCCAAAGCTCTGCTGACTCAATAACTGCAGAGTTCCAGCTCTGGCATTAATATCAGCACCAAACTGTGCGCCGGGAGCTTCATGGCCGAGCAGCTGCATCAAGCCTTACATCACCAGACACAATGTCAAGAATCCAAGTCATTTTGGACAGTTTGGGGAAGAAGGCCCTTTTCTGTTTCAGCATGACTGTGCCCCTGTGCACAAAGCAAGGTGCATAAAGGCATGGTTGCATGAGTTTGGTGTGGAAGAACTTGACTGGCCCGCACAAATCCTTGACCTCAACTCCATTGAACACCTTTGGGATGAACTAGAACAGGGGGTGTTTCTCAATCGCGAGTACGCTTGCTTGGTAGCACATGTCTGCCGAGCATCTTGCTTCAGAAGCGAGTCAAGAATACTTCCTGCCATTTGGAAAACAAAAAGTGGAACAGGCTAGCAAGTGTGCAGGTGTGCGTCATATGATAGGCCCCGCCTTACATCTTCCGCCACAGATTTGGGGAAATTGGTCCGTGCGCAAAGCATTGTGGGGATTTTAAGACCGCGGAGTCTACTCATGTGCAGCCTCGATATTTCTCCAAACGGAGTACGCCGGGCTCGGTAGATTTCCAAGTATGCTGGAGATTGGAACAATCCTTCGGCGGCACTCGATGACGTAGTATGCTTGAAATAGTGGCTCTGAAGCAGCTTTACTCGAGATTGAGAAACACCCACTGAGCCAGCCTCTGGTCCAACATCAGTGTCTGATCCACAAATGCTCTTCTGGATGAATGGGCAACAATTCACAGACACACTCCAAAATCTTGTAGAAAGCCTTCCCAGAAGAGTGGAAGCTGTTGTAGCTGCAAAGGGGGGACCAACTTCATATTAATGCCTAAGAATTTGGAATGGGATGTCCTAAAAGCTCCTGTAGGTGTAATGTGTAGGTGGCCCAAGACTTTTGTCTATATAGTGTGTGTGTGTGTGTGTGTGTGTGTGTATATCGTTTTTAGTCTGCATATATACATTTTTAAGTATGCAATTTACTTTTTGCTTAATGATGTCTTCACAACTAACAAAGTTAACTACATTGATTAGCATTATAATTATTTTTAAATAATATATTTATTCATATTGTGACAGAATTCATATGCACTCGTGTTTTTCTTAAAAAATATCCTCTTTTTATGTTACACATAATATCCCCTACATATTCTTCACATTTGTATTATCACTAGTATTGGTTCTAAAAAAGTGCTGCTATTGTTTTTCTTGCATTTTTACATGGTATTTTTTGGTCATAAAAAAAAGAATAATAAAAAAGCAACTGACAACAACTGTTTGCATAAGAATGAATACTAATTCAAACTAGTAAAACTAACACAAAATGAAAGGTAGGGATGACACGAGATGTGATCAGCAGATTATATTATTTCCTTTAAAAAAGACTTCATTACAAGAGTTTACTTCATTCATTCAGACTCAACGTCTTTACATGTTCAGTGTCCTAAACTGTTCATCACTACAGAAAAACAGAAAGACAACTTGAAAGAACCGCAATCTGCTCAGGGATCAGATCTGAGGCGGGACAGTGTTCAGGGTCAAATGAGAGACTTTAAGACACAAACATGGCCGCCTCATTTTAATATTAGGGATACATGGATTTGTCCTTGTTGAATGTTAAAATCTAGTTTTTACAACAAGGAGGACACTAGGGTTGTAAGGGTATAAAGGTATCTTGGTATTAAAGTTGACCAACTTATCAAATTGTGTACATTTGTTTATATACAGTGTTGAAAAGAAATGACGTTTAGGTGTGTGAGTTCAAAGCTACACACATACAAAATATGTTCACATTAGGACATTATTAAACTTTAAGCTGATAGCTAAAATAGTGCTTGCATGTACACTTACATGCTTTAGTTAAATTAGGAACTAATTCATTTTAGTCATACAGCTTCTGTATATGAACAGAATGCAGCAAAAAGGGCTTTACAATTCATCTATCATAACAGAGGTATGTTTTTTTTGTATCAGGTTTATAGTATTCATTCGGGTCCTATTCTTTAAAGGGTCACTGTAAATAATAAGAAAACTAATTTGAATAAGATACTGTAATATATTATACTTTCAAAATCTTATGCCGTTACAACCCTAGCTGACAAGAAGTAAAGAGCGGGCTCATTTATTTGTCTTATTATGTAACGTACTGTAGGTATTTGATAGGGTTGATTTGAAAACAACACAAACAAACTCAACTATTGAAGCAGCAGTAGACCAGCAGCTCCCATGTTCTGCAAGGTAAAGATTGGAGACTGGTTGCAGCTTCAGTTCCCTGACAGAAAATGTAAGCGTTGAAAATATTATTCTAAAGCATTCACTTAAACGGATATAGATTTTATTTAAGAAGGCCTCTTGTTTTTTCCTCTGTTGTGTTGTTTCTGTTTGTTTTTCCAAACTGCTACCGCCATGTACTGTAGGTGTTACACCGACTATGGATCGGTACCTCATGTAACCCAGTTTAAAAAAACTATAATAATTGATCAACTATAACTTATACTGCATCTCAATGTCAGTTAGGATTCCTAGAGACACATTTAGTGTGATCCTTCAGTGCCTGTTCACTGTTCACCCAGGACATGTTAACGCATAGTGAATCTAAAACAGCAATGTTCATATCGCTCACTAACCGATCCCCCCCCCCCCCCCCCGAATACACTTCACAGTAGTCCCTTCACCTTCTAACAGACAACCAGAAGAATATCAGCCCCATAACTCTAACGGAGCGTTCACATCAAACGCAGAGCTAATGTTTCCTGTGGTTCCATTGCTTACACATATAATGCGGACAAGATTATGAGTGGATTTGTTCGGCGTGATGATCGAATGACTTCAGTAACCTTTTGATCTTTTTATTGCAGTTTAACCATAAGTAAATATATTTTATTTTGGGTTCGTACCATTGTAATAAACAGACAACTAAAATGTCGCTCTGCGTTTGGTGTGAATTTCCCGCTCTCTATAGCAGTGCTCACGCAAGACCTTTAACCTCGGCAACAATCAGGACATTATCGTCCAAGATCATGCGTACGCCATTGTTTCTTATTGATGGACGGTGCAGCCAAGCAGGGCTAAATAGTCCAAATTATAACAGACACCTTGTTGTTCTCTTTTGCCTCCTCTTTCTTCTCCTTTCCTCCACCCCTCTGTCCGTCCTTCTCTCTCTGGCACAGTTTGGCTGTCAGTGGAGTTCGTATAAGAAGAGAGGCGCTGGTCTTCCCTTCCTCCTGCCGCTACATGATGATCCGCGGCTCTGGGACCGACTCGTTGATGGATTTGTGAGGCAGCACGTTGGCACCGTTCAGGTAAAGCTCGTCGTTCACGATCACATCCTCCCCCAGCACCGTCACGTTCTCCATACGAACCTGACGACACAGAATTACCCAGAAGTCATTGAACCTCCGATAACATCAGAATCAGGTTTATTGCCATGTAGGTTTACAGGAACAATGAACTTGTGTTTGTGCATAGTGCTGCAAACCTAAACACAGTATAGGGAAATCATTTGTAAGAGAAGGATCACAAATAGAAAGATTACTAAAAAATAAAGAGAAATATTTTCACACGCAATATCAAATATCTACATATCCATATGAGAAGAGATTGAGAATGATTTCTGTTGCTTTACTTATTACCATTTGATGCCACTTTCTGCTCCACTACATTTATGAAGCCAGTTATTGTTTTTATTCTACTACAATATCAGTTACTAGTTACTTGCAGTAATATATATATATATATATATATATATTTATAAAACGGACAAGTCAAATCAAGCAATCCGATTGGTTCTTAGCCGTGATATAATGAGCGTATATCACGGGTAGAATTGTAGTTATTTTTCACAAGTCAGTATCCCTCCGCGTCTGAGAAAAACTGTATACAGTTGGGCTGAACCACGCCCCTTAGCTGTGATATAATGAGCATATACCACGGCCTGTCGTGAGCTATTGCTTAAATATATATATTCATATCTATGTACAAAGCGGTCATTATTCCATGCAAAGTTACTTTTCCAATGATGACCCACTTGCTGCATAGTATCCTGCTTATTACACGGCTTCTTACTAAATAAACATCATATTGTGATATAGCTGTTGAATGTCGAAGTTTACCAGAATTAAATGTACACCTAGGCCATGTAAAAAATATATCTTATTATTAACCATAAAAATAACTATAAAATGTATTGCCTTTTTTACATTTTAGGGAAAACATGTGTTCATATGTATTCATTTTATACTACACACTGATTTTAAGCAATTTGAGATATATAATAAAAGTCATGCTTCAGTGACTGTTTCTGCAGTAAGGAATCAAAAGACTTTATGGTTTTTACATTACTAAATGGAAATTACAGAAAATAAACAATGATTAAAGAGGACATATTTTGCTCATTTTCAGGTTCATATTTGTATTTCTTGCTTCTACTGTAACATGTTTGATGTCTCCATGCTTTCATGTTCAGAAAGCTCTTTCCCTTTCCTGTGAAGGAAACAGGAAAGGGAAAACCCCGAGAGGCAAAATAGGGCCTCTTTAAATGTGACTTCTGAAATCTACTGTTAACTAAACTTCAAAAACAGCTACCTTTGTATTGCCATTTCTTTGTATTTTCTAAGAATACTTTTTGACTCATCGGTTCCTGATGGTTTCTTCCCCTCCGCTACCGGACTCATCAATAAGGCCCGCCCCCCCCCCACTGACACATAACATCAGCCACATCATAGACTCTTGTGTGCATTACATTAATGCACACAATGTACAACAATATCGGTTTTCTTTTCTTATTACTGCCGATTTTTATTTGTATTCCATATTTTATTCCTTTTTATTCCATTACATTGCACTGTTATATTTATATTTTAGTATATATTTTATTATTTTTCTAGTTCTCTATGTTTTACTTGTTGTTTTACTTTTATGTATGTACCACGACACCTAGTCAAATTCCTCGTAAGTGGAAACCTACCTGGTAATAAACCTGTTTCTGATTCTGAAGTGTTGTTGTCTGCACAATGAACCAAGTTAAAGATGAAACTTTCTATAACTTGCAATAATATAATTCCCTATGGTCTCTGTCCTGTACTCACCCACTGGCCCACAGAGGAGCTCCACCCAACGATGCAGCTCTCCAGCCAGGAGTGAGATCGGACCCGCGCCCCCTTCATCACCGTGCAGCGCTTTATCCTCACGCCGTCCTCCACCACCACCCCCGCACCGATGGTGACGTTCGGCCCGATGGTGCAGTTCTCCCCGATCTGCGCTGTGGGGTCCTGGAGTCAAAGATTCACAGTCTTAAAAGTCATGAGCACAACAGCAACAGCCTAGTGATGCAATGTACATCTGAAGACCAAGGGGTGCATCTCACTTCGGTTAAATGGATTCCTTGCGTCCCTCACTTGCGTCGTTTCCCTGCGTCTAGTCCCTCCCACCAGGGAAGCATGGAGAGACGCAAGGAAACCACGAGAAGCAGGGAAATGAGTTTTAAGAGCAATGGGACGTCGTTTCCTCCGGGGCGTCACGTGAAGCGACGTCCGTTTGTGATGACGCCGCACAGCTGATCGTCTGACAGCAGCCAGATCAGTGCATGCGCTGCATCGTCCAATCAGTGAGTGATACACAGTAAGGGGGCGGGGCGAGTATCTGAGGATTTCACCGGAGGATGGTCTGGTAGTTCCTCGATTATCGCTCCTCTGTTATCACTCCTCGGTCCTCGGTCCTCGGGCAAAAATAAGGCCACTGGGACGCTACTCAAGATGGCGCAGACAAATCAACTTCCGGTGATACCGAGCCCGAGGAGCGAGGAAATGAAAAATAACCGAAGTGAGACGCACCCCAAGACTCCTCCAACAGTGAAACATACAACATGCTTATGTTGTAGAACAAAGGGTTGTAATCTCTTCAGCTTGAGTTAACCACAGACCATATTTCACGCATCTTACCAAAACTTATTTCCCATCTCTAGGACTCATTCCTGCACCACTCTTATAATTATAAACGTGTTCAGTGATGTGTTTATTTGACATCATGTGGCGGCCATCAGCAGAACTCACCACGAGAACGTTGCCAAGGAAACCGGGTCCCGTGCGTAGCCTCTCAGGAGCGTGTTGCCGTAGCGACTGAAGGTACATACACATCCCTGTGAGAAAGTCTTTAGGTTGACCGATGTCCATCCAGAAACCTGCAGACAGACAGACAGGCAGACAGACAGGCAGACAGACAGAGCAGTTAGTAACCATTGCAACAAGGTGATGTTTCTATGGTTACATGAACAACAGCAAACAGCAAACAGCGACAGCTTTTGGTTAGGGCTGGGAAATATGAAGAAAATCAAATATCCCAATATTTTTGGACAACATATCTCAATATTGATATTCCGCCATATAGTAGGGTTGACTTTTGGTTCTTTCAAAACAAATATGAACACAATTAAATGGATGATAGATAATAATCAATAATAACAAAACAATAAAAAAGAAAATGTTCTACTTTACTCTAATGCAGCTTTTAAAACCAGGGAATTAAATGCGATGTAAAGATATTACAATATCCCAAAAAACATCTTTTCTCAGATCACAATATCGATATTATATCAATATATTGCTAATTTTGGTAAATGGACTTCTATAGCGCCTGTTTGCACTACATGCCTACATTTACACATACCAAGCTGCTCCTCATCTGATCTCATCTAATGCATAAGAGCACAATTCACAATGTGCTCTTATATGCACCGTTATAAAACTAAGAACAATCCTTAAACCTACTCATAAATAAATGTTATGTATAAAACAATAAATGTTAATCTGGCTCCGTTTCAGATGACAATAAAACAATAAATAATGATCCTCGATCAAACTGTCTGGTTTTCAAATGTTGAGGGACAAATCAAGACTTTGAAGAGGTCCCATTTCAATATTTTTCGACATTGTATAAAACTTTTTTATGTAAAAGTGTCATCTGTTAGAAAAGTTAACTGATAAAGAAAATGTTTGTTAGATGCAGCCATGATTAAAATACATATTAATGATCGTTTAGATAATATTGTATATAAGATTTGTGCTGTAGTAGTTACCTTGTAGCTCCATCGTGTACAGCTGGCCCTCCTCTGCCATGACAGGAAATATCTCTTTCTCTATAGATGTTGGTCTTAGCTACACACACACACACACACACACACATATTGTAAGGTTAAAATCACAGTGCAAACACACCTGTTTTTGTATTTGTGTGTGTGTGTGTTTTTGTATGTGTGTGTGTTTTTGTATGTGTGTGTGTGTGTGTTTTTGTGTGTGTGTGTGTGTGTGTGTGTGTGTGTGTGTGTGTGTGTTTTTGTATTTGTGCGTGTGTGTGTTTTTGTATTTGTGTGTGTGTTTGTGTGTGTTTTTGTGTGTGTGTGTGTGTGTGTGTGTGTGTGTGTGTGTGTGTGTGCGTGTGTGTGTGTGTGTCACCTGGATCCTGCTGAGCATGCTGGGATTGAAGATGTAGATGCCAGCGTTGATCTTGTTCGAGACGAAGACCTGTGGTTTCTCCACAAAGCGGTGGATCCTGCCGCTGTCCGCCTCAAACACCACCACGCCGTACTTAGAGGGCTCCTCCACCCGCGTCACCTACACACACAGAGCCAAGACTGATTCATAAACAAACTTCACAAAACAAAAAAGGTTCCGAATTAAATTTAAGCTTAGAATCAACCACCATTCAAATGAATTTAGTAAACGAAAAATGTAAAACTTTTCACATTTAAAAACAAACCACATTCTATTAAAATGCCCTGAAATGAAGTCTTTGGCCCGTTCTCATTTCATCAAATGTCCCTCCTCGACTCCTCGGTCCTCGGGTAGTGACCCGGAAATGAATTTTAGCGCGCCATGTTGAAGGACATCTCATTTCTCTAAATGCACATCGAGGACCGAGCATCGAGCGTCGAGGAGGCTCTCTGGAGGAGCTATAACCGAGGATACACTGATGGGTCCTCCACGGTCCTCCACGGCTCCTTCGCGGATGTATTTCCGGCAACAGTGATGTTTCAAAGAGTCGTGACACACGGCCGGACTTATCTCAGCCAATGACAATGCTCTGCATGCATCCCCTGGATATTATTTTATTAACTGCTTTCATCGCGACGCGATGTTTACAGTGAGAACAGCTGTGAGGTCCGTGCAGAAAGCAGAGCAGTGTGTATAATATATATCACTCAGTATAACAGCTAACAGGCCTACTCTCTTTATTTGCTTTAGTTTAGTAGATATCTACAAACAAAGAGTCGATATTTTTCTAAAACCATTTAGTGCTTCACATAATAAAATACACAACGGCTGTAGCCTGATTATGCTTTAGGAGCTGTAGGTACGTGTGTGTGGTGTAGGTGTGTGTGGTGCAGTGTGTGCGTAGATGCAGCGGACAGACAGGTCTCAGTTGGTTTGGTGTCCTCTGCTTACTTTTAATACTTGTAAATAAAACTTTTGGCCCGTCATTTATTTCCCTCATTGTAGCGACCAGAGAGGGGGGGGGGGGGGGGGGGGGGGGGGGGATATATCCAGTCTCTGATAGTGTTACGTTATTATGAGAGTGCTCTGTTTGATTCTGAAATTGTATATATTTATATAAATATGTGTGTGTATGTCTGCATCTGTAGCCTGTTGTTGTCTCATTATACCGCACTGTGAATGAATTAAAAGTAAATATATAAGTCGTCATGAACACATCTGTCCATCAGACAGAGGGCTGTGCCTCCTGTCATCATTAATGGACGTCTCTTTAAAATGACCGCTCAGAGGAGAGGAGTTCTCATTTCTCTAACCGCCTGCTGCTTCCCCTCCTCTCTCCTCGGCTCCCCTCCTCGGCTCCTCCGCTCGCATCTCCTGTGGGCGGGACTAAGACACGAGGAAGGAGTCGAGGATAGGAGTCGAGGAGGGACATTTGACGAAATGAGAACGGGCCCAAATATCTGTTCGTCTGTGTTGAATTCAGTTACTGAAACGTTTTCCCTTTCAATACCAAAAAATGCCCAGTACGGAATTATTCCACTAGATGTCAGTAAAACATTTAACCAAAAAGTTATTTAATTAAATGTTTACGTTTTTCTCTTTTGAATTTAAGAAGTCACCTTTTTTTCAAGTTGCCACTTATATCATTCATCATTCCAAAATGTCATTCCAATTCCCCTAACCCTTTTTTTAGGAATAAATATATCGCCTGATGAACACAACAATAATACGTTGTAATTGTCCATATACTCTTTGATTAGAAGTCTGGATAAAAGTATCCTCCATTGTCTTTTGGCTCCCTCACTACTGTAGATGTTTCGTACTGAAGTTTTACCACATATCTGTCATGATTGTCAACTTTCATCTAAAAAGAGCTAAACTCTGACTAATCAACCTGTAGTCTGGATGTAGTCTGAAAAACACTTTGAGCAGTGGTAACTCACCACGATGGTCCCCTCCTTGCCGTGGTTGCTGTGGAACTGCAGCAGGTCTTTGAACGGAAAGTCACAGATGACGTCTGAGTTCAGGACGAAGAACGGCTCGTTGTCGATGTTCAGAAGCTCTCGAGCCAACGCCAGGGGGCCGGCTGAAACCAGACACACACACGTTCATTTCTCATTTTTATACAATTTAGTGACGTTTTCGCAGTTGAATTGTGTGATTTGGGCACAGGGTGATTTGGGCACCTGGTGCAATTGTATATATTGGAGACAGGTGGTGGTGAGCAGAGCACTAGTAGGCATATGGTTTTTTTACCAGGGTGATTCGAGCAGGATTAAACAAAGAAAGCCATAGGAAAGGCTTCAGGAAAGGAAATGAGAAACCCTTGTCATTGTACTTTTGTTTGGTGGATTTGGATCATTTTCACCCTGCGTAAGATTCGCTATCTGGTGCCTTGACGGCAGTTTACTTAAGTTAATTTTCTGTTTGACTTTTCTATGATTTTGGCCACTACAATGGATCTTACACTACATAAAGTGGAAACCTAGTGTCTGAAAGCAGCTGAAAAAGCTTAATGCCCAGCCTTCCCATCGGTCACTTGGATACAAAACAATTGAAATATTATTCAGGTTGAAGAAGTTACCCTTAATTAAGTGTGCACAATGAATCTAAAATGTAATGGATATTGCAATGTTGACAAGTGTAATATCCAAATCACAGGACCTCAGTATTCTTTTTTAAAGGCAAAATATGTGTAGAAATACAATTCTGAGGTAAGTATTGTGCTAAGAGATATTGAAGCTTAGTAGCGTTTACCGCAGACTTCAGAAAAAATCTTTGTATGATGCAGATATAACAGTTTCTGCAGACTTGCACTGTTTCAAATCACTGGACACTTTTAAAATGCACTTTGCTGTGTTGCATCGACAGTTTCCTGTCTGCAGAGAGGAGAAACTCACCTGTGCCCAGAGGCTCCTTCTCATGAGACAGAGAGATACGAACCCCAAGCTGAAGAGAAAACAAAGAAACATTCAGGATTCTGTAGATGGAGAACAATGATCATTTCTGTATTGTTTCCTTTCATTCTAATTCAGAGACAGAAAAGGTACGTACTCTCTCCTCCTGGACTCTCATCTCTCTCTCCAGCAGCTCCGACATGTAGCTCACCGCCAGAATCACATGGTCCACCCCCGCCTACACACACACACACACACACACACACAGAAAACATCAGCAACAACATAATTATAAGATGGAGTCCAGCCAACACAATAACATAAGCTTTTTTTATAAGAAAAATTCTAAAAGGTATTTATGTTTAATTAGGGCTGGGTTATAATTCATCTAAAAGTATGGAGGTCAACAAATAAGACGTTTTAAGCCTTTATTACGACTATATTCATCCCTGTCCTCCTGCTACTCCTGTTTTCCTCCTTTCACCTCCTCCTCCTCCTCCTCCTGCTCCTCCTCCTCCTCACCTTCACCAATGCCTCCAGCTGGTGCAGCAGGATGGGTTTGTTGCAGAAGTCCACCAGAGGTTTTGGGACGCTGAGGGTGAGCGGTCTCAGTCGCGTCCCGTAACCTCCGACCAGGATCAAAGCCTTCATGCTTCTGCCGTTAGCAACAGCTACCAAGGTGACCACAGCTCATCAACGCACAGCAACCAGCCTGAGGAGGAGAGAGGAGAGGAAGTCACGGTGAAGTCAATGGTTATCGATATCGTGATATTAGACATTGTCTTACCGTTGTTTTAAAGGCTGCAATACAGTACAGTGCTGTACTTTTCTGAATTGAACAGACTGTTCTAGCTACTTTATTATGTCCCCTACACACTTGGTCATTATACATGTTTTCTACAGTTTATATTTAAGGTGTTTTAATGCCACTCAGAATTCAATTTAAGACCAATTTTACTCCCAATTTAGGAGAAAAAATGTCATATTTTGTCAGGTTTTACAAACAGAGCATGGATCATGTCAGGGTGGAACGGCTACACACTTTGTTTGTATTGTGCAACAGATGCAACATGTTCACTCAGATAGTTTGAAACATATTTTTCTTCTATTTCAGAAATACCTTCAGAACAGCAAAAAAGTCTGTTGACAACTAACTGTTGCTCAAAGTCAATAATACATGTTGACACAGTGGAGCTAGGTGGGGCTACATTGACTCACTGTGAACAAACTTTAGTAAGGGTCTCCCAACAGAGTATGCCCCCAGATACACTGTTTTTCATTGGAATCCTCTAATGGCTTTACCACTCTGTGCTTGTAGCAGGGCTACACATGCTAAAGCCTCTTTATGGTGCATTAGTGTTGTCTTTCTTCACTTATTTATTCAGAGTTGTCCTCTGATCTGGAACCCATCAGTAAGTTCATGAAAAGACAAGTTCAAAGTCTGGCCTAAGAGAGGGGATACTGAGATGACATATTTGCACCTTGTAAAACTTTTTCAGCCAGAATACCCTTTACATCAGGGGTGTCCAAACTACGGCCCGGGGGCCAACTGTGGCCCGTTGTCCATTTTGAAAAGACTAGTAGCAAATTCTACAGTATAATGGAATATGTCCCACACATGAAACTTGTGCTTGTCTTATGTTGTACTTATTAAATAGATATGTTAAAAATATATTACACAGTATTCATGTGTTAATAAGCTCACTTTTCAAATAAATTCAGTCAATCTTGGTTGATAAAAAAGCCCAATGACTTATTAACATAGTAAGCTTGAAATATACCCTTCCTATTTCCCCTTATGTTAAGCAATATGAGGCTTCTGTTTTAAGACATGAGCTGCTAACACTTGAAACATAATAAATGAAACCCTACGGAAAGCTGTGATGTAGGCTGTTCTTTTCTTAAAGCATATTAATTCGAGTATCAAGCATAATGTACCTACATTTGATTGATTTTGCTAACTTATAACTTAACGTATGAGGCAATATACCTCAGCTCTAGTGAGGGGACCAGACTTTCGTACATTTTTCTGTATGTGGCCCTTGGTGAAATACGTTTGGACACCCCTGCTTTACATGCATACGATCATGCATGCAACATAAAGCATTACCCACTTTAAGGTGGTCTGGTTAGCGTGTTTGACAGGTATGAATGACTCATTCAAAAGTCCCATGACATAAAGAACCGTGTCCTCCTAATGAACTGTCACCACAGATAAAGACTTCATTCATAAGGAAGTCTGGCTGTAGTCTTATGTTAGTGTCTTATTTAATCAACCAAACAGCCACATACAGGTGTTCAAAACAACTATTACTTTCATCACCAGCAGCTAAATTAGCCTTTTTAGCCACACAGGGATAAAGTGATTTCCCTACTGTAATATTGTGATAATTTATTAATGGACGCTGGTATTCTTAATATTAACTATAGATTTGTGAGATAAATACAAACTGTGCTCTTGTTTAATAACACAAATGAACTCACAGTGATTTAAGCTAAGCCATGTTAGCTCAGCTAAGCTAACTGATTACTTGATTTAAAGCTTTTAAAACGACAAGCCGACTGTTAACAAGAGAAGTTAGCAAAATGCTCCTGTCCTCAGTCTGTGGCAAAGTGAATAAAGACAATGAAAACCTACTTACTGGGATTTCGTTCACCAAAAGTGTCCAGGAGGTTTGAGACTCTGGGAATGACACGTAAGATCATTCAAATCCGAATTCCTTGTTTAGTTTCCGGTCAAGCAGCTGAGCGTCAATTCAGAAAGCGTGATAAGTCAAACATCCGGTGCAAGGTTTCAAAATAAAATAATTTTTTTTCAGTACGTTTTTTTTTTAATGATTTTTTATTGAGTCTTTTGATATTTCCCTTTTATAAACTCGTTATACAGTCTCTCAGTCTGAACAGAATTATTTGTATAGGCTACTTTATAAATAAGGCTGTCACATTGGGATTGAGATCCCATTAACAAGTGAGTATTGAGTAGCCTACTATGCAAATAATAACATTACAAATAAAATACAATGCATATTACGTAAGAAAGTCAGACCTAAAACCAATGAAACCTCCATCCACAATTAACCAATTGACCTATTAATATCAGTGTGTAAGTATAGATGAGAGCAGTGGCGTAACTATCGACCGTGCAGCCGGTGCAACGCACCGGGGCCCAGAGCCGGCCAGGGGCCCATTTTTTTTATATATATATTTTCTTTTCTTTTTTTTGGGGGCGCCAATGGCATTGACCGGTTCACGCAGTCTTTAAAGTAACCAAGCAACCTAAATTAAACCATATATCGAGCCCGATCGTCGATTTCCAATTATTTAATGTAATTGTTTGCCTGTCTGGCCATCGTAATCGGGCTCTTTGAAGATCCAATAATCCACGGTTTTCTTAAATTTCTGATCGGATTGGCAAAAACTTCAGAATTTGTATTGACCGCCATTCAAATGACAGCGTTGTTTTTCCCCCAAAAGTGGGCGGGGCCGTAATTTTCGCCCAGAAGTGACGTAGGTGTTACTCTCATCTATTTTGAAATAATACTTTACCTGGCTGGAACCTGCAGTGAGATGAGTGTTTATTATTTTAATTTTACAAGACAAATCAACCGGTGTCCGGTTTGCTGGATGACTCTGGGGAACTTGACCACACGCCCTGCCTCTCGCCTCTTTCACTGACACGGTGTGTTAAAAACCATTGGCGCATTAACTGAAAATAAATGCTAGTTTTTATACTAGAAAGCAAAACGGGATAGATGTTTAAATACTTTTGAATTATTGTTTCTTGATGAAATGTCATCAAGACTGTCCCACCTAATAGCGTAACTTTTATTTACACTTTTTGTTACGACACAATGGTTTGTTCTTAACACTAATCCCCGCCTCTTCCCTACTTCTGACCAATGAGAGAAAAACAGCGTGGCGATGGAAGGTGACGCCACTGCACTGGAGTTTGACAGCTGACAGCCAGCCAGTGTAAATATATCGGTCCATCGTCCAACTTTCAAATCACTTTGACTTTGGTTAAAGTTTTTCTCGGTCAGATTGTTTGACTTAATTGTTTCTATTTCTTACCAAAAAAAAATCACAGAAACATTTACAACCTCTTTTGTTGTTGTTGAAAATATAAAATCAAAAGCAGAGCCAATAATATGACCAATGCTTTGAGCAAGACTTTATTTCAAACAAAATAAACACATTTAAGCACCACTCACTGAGCAACTTGTTTGGCCAAAATAAAAATAAATGTAAAAGTAATAATAAATAACTTAATACGTTAATAATATATGTATTTCTTTACCCTATCATTGGGTCTCGAAACCATTAAGAGTCCATGGGCCGTTCTCATTTCATCAAATTCCCCTCCTCGACTCCTATCCTCAAGACTTAGTCCCGCCCACAGGAGATGCGAGCGGAGGAGCCGAGGAGGGGAGCCGAGGAGAGAGGAGGGGAAGCAGCAGGCGGTTAGAGAAATGAGAACTCCTCTCCTCTGAGCGGTCATTTTAAAGAGACGTCCATTAATGATGACAGGAGGCACAGCAGCCCTCTGTCTGATGGACAGATGTGTTCATGACGACTTATATATTTACTTTGAATTCATTGACAGTGCGGTATAATGAGACAACAAGCTACAGATGCGGACACACACACACACACACACACACATATATATTTATATAAATATATACAATTTCAGAATCAAACAGAGCACTCTCATAATAACGTAACACTATCAGAGACTGGATATTACATTTTACATTTAATAAAAATAACAAACAATGTGCAGCATTTCAGCTCAAACACTGAGTATCAGTGATTAAAATGTATTATTTATTGTACTGTAAATATTACAATATTAACAGTACATTTCATATTGTAATTTAAAACAAGTATTTCCTTTTTTTTTTTTACAGTTAACCTGCAGGAACACATCTCCATGCTCAGACTTTATTCTAGTATTAAGAAAATCCAAAGTCAGGATGTGTTTGAGGGAGAAGCCTGGTTCTCTAGTCTTTGGTTCAGGAAGTCAGAGGTCAGGGGTTCCAGCGCAGGTCACAGATCAGGGCGATGTGGTCAGAGGGGTGAGCGACGCTGGGCAGAGCCTCGTAGGTGGTGACCTCCTGGTGGCTGGGCAGAGGAATCACCTGCTCCACCTGCAAAAACACAGATACTGTCATTATATCTACTCCCCTACTTTAGTGGAAAATGAAATTCAAACTTCTGTACAAAAAATGTTTCCTACTTCTGTATACAACCAGAATTTGGTTTCAAACTAGTTGCAATGACACACATTATTCATAGGACTACTACTCTTACAACAATATAATGTGTTAATATTGATTTCACAGTGGTTGCGCTAACATCATAGCTTGTCAATTTGTTTTCGTCATCTACTCCCATTTGCATGTATCATGTGGAGCGTAGGGCAGCATGTGCTCAAGTGAAGGTGTTTCTGACACTGTAAATAGTTAGATTGTGTAGCGATAAAAATAATGGTTTTAAATTGCTGCTTTTTGATCGGTAAATTGCGACCTCTTAGTTCAAAAATCAATAACAAGTATACTCCTAACTTGAGTATTTGCCACACTAATCTGTCAGTGCTATTAGTATCAGTGGCCCTGGCAGCACTAACAGTAATGAAGTGACAGTATTAGCTTGACTTCAGTACTAGTACCTGCATGCTGTCCGGCTGTATGAAGATGTAGTCCAGGCAGCCATGGAATCCTCCCACGTAGTTGGTGTAGGCCGGCTGTCCGTACGCGCTCAGCAGAGGGGGGAGGGCAGAGAGCAGCTCCATGCTGCAGGACTCCTCCGGCCCCAAGCTGCTCCAGTCTGCGTGCTGCAGAGGAACAAGAGCCTCGCTGAGCAGCTGGAAAACACCTGCAGACAGGAAGAGGAGACAAACAATGACTCCGCAGCTTTTAAATACAATATGAAGTCAATGAAGTCTATGTGCTTTGGCTGAATTAAATTCTGGCAGAGACCGATGTTGCTGTGGAGTTACCCGAGTCAGGATGTGAGTTGAAGTCTCCACAAAAGATCAGAGGGGCTCCAGGTGCGACCTCATTGATCACATGATTCAGGTGTTGCAGAGCCACGCCCATCTGGACCAAGCGGATGCTCCCTCCTTCAAAGAAATTACATTTGTTTTTAGAAATGTGTTCTTGCACTTTGCTCTTTTATATCAGGTGTCTTCATACAGAGGAGTGAGCTGTTTTACCTTTGGGGAGCCAGTACAGGTGAGTGTTTGCCACGCAGACCTTCCTGCCAGGTTTACTCACATCCTCAAGCACACTGACCTGAAAACAGTCACAACAACAATTTACAAAGACAGCCACAGTGTGTCCATTTGACAGCATTTTGGGGGGGGATTTGATGATTTTGTTTATTTCTTTCGATTAATTCATTTGCCTATTAAATATTTGAATTAACAAAACTACCTAACCCAATTCTCTAATGCCAATTAGAGCTCAACGACTACAAGCCCAAAACTCTACTAGTATGAATCCTCTTTTGAATGATTCTGGCGGTGCAGCATGTGAGCAGCCGTACCTGCAGGACGGTGGTCCTCTTCAGGATGTTCTGCTTCAGAGCCGTGCTCGCAGAAAGATTCTCCAGCAGCGCAGAGTGGATTGGGTCAGAGGTTAGCGCCTCGCTCAGCGAAATATTATGACTGCTCAGAAGCTTCAACTTTGACCTAAAAAGACAAAATGATGCACTTTTTAATTACGTGACTTAAAGTGGACCTATCATGCTATATTTAAATTATATATTGTAGGGCCATACCTATATAAGGTATATTTATACGTTTCTGTTTTCAAAATACCAAACAGATCATGCATTTTAGCCATGCCTCATTTCGCTCTATGTGCTGTTTGCTGTCTACGGGTCTGATTCTGCTGACCACGCCCCCCTGCAGGAGAGGGGAGACATGCTCTGATCAGCTGCTGGGCTGTCAGAAGAGGGGGAGAAAAAGAGATCTCCGTCCTCCGTGTTTTATTATATAGAGTTGTTATTCATTTGTTTTAAAGCTCAATAAATAACAAAGAAGACCTTTGACCGGCACTTTTCTAATTTTGTCCGGAAGATTTAAACTTTAACGGACATCTTGACCGGCGAAAGGAACTGAAACTGAAACTGCCGCACGGTCCCCTCGTTCCTTGGAAGAGGTGGAGAGGTGGGTGTTTGTCATCTGCTGGTGGACTAACCGGAGAGAATTACAGTGCTTGCCTCGACGGGGAGGGATTGCATTGAATTAAAGCAGCGGGAGCAAACGCTTGCCTCGGGGAGGGAGAAAAAAAAGCCACAGCGGAGAATAAACAGAAGGGTAACCATGGTAACTATGGGCGGGAAGTCTTCTTCGCTGCTTTTGTGGCAGACTACAGCGGCACTTACAGGCCTGGCATATGTACTACAGCGTCTCCAGCGGCAATGGCCGGCCGTGGCCCAACCCCACATTCCCCTGATAGGTGGAGAGTTGGCCCAATAGCCGTAGCGCCACTTCTGTGACGACATAGAAGTGTTGAAATCTGGATCAGTTTTTATCAGATCCGTTGCAGCCTCTTTTTTTAGAGATTTGGGTATGGAGGAAAATAGAGAGGGTTGTGTTTTCTGACACTTGGTGAGTTCCCTGGAACACCGGGGACACATATTCATGTATAAAAGACGTACAAAAGTGCATTTTGCATGATAGGTCCCCTTTAATATAGGATTGAAAGGTTTATTACCATCTAAAAA